TGGCCGAGCGGTTAAGGCTATGGACTTGAAATCCATTTTGGTTTCTCTGCACATGTTCAAATCCTGCCAATAATGGGTTTCTGTTTCAAATACAAATTTTATTGTAATTTAAATCTAAAAACTGAAAGTACACTGTGTCTTCTCAAAGCTTTTTTAAAACACAAAGTTATGTTGTCGTGGCCAAGTGGTGACCAGAAGCACACTGTTTTCTTACAATTTTACATTGAAAAATGTGTTGTCGTGGCCGAGTGGTTAAGGCGATGGACTAGAAATCCATTAGGGGTTACCCCGCGCAGGTTCAAATCCTGCCGATAACAGTCAGTGCTTTGTTCCTGTTATGATAAAATCTTTTACAGAAATTTAAATTTGAAACTGAAAGTACACTGTGTTTTTCTAAGGCCAAAAGGTTCAAATCCTGCCGATAACGGTCGGTGCTTTGTTCCTGTTATGTTAAAATCTTTTACAGAAATTTAAATTTAAAACTGAAAGTACACTGTGTTTTTCTAAATTTCAACATTAAGAATTGAGTTGTCGTGGCCGAGTGGTTAAGGCGATGGACTTGAAATCCATTGGGGTTTCCCCGCGCAGGTTCAAATCCTGCTGATAACGGTCAGTGCTTTGTTTCTGGTATGTAAAAATCTTTTAAAGAATTTTAAATTTAAAACTGAAAGTACACTGTGTTTTCCTATATCTCAACAAAAAAGGAATTAAGTTGTTGTGGCCGAGTGGTTAAGGCTATGGACTTGAAATCCATTTTGGTTTCTCTGCACATGTTCAAATCCTGCCAATAATGGTTTTCTGTTTCAAATACAAATTTTATTGTAATTTAAATCTAAAAACTGAAAGTACACTGTGTCTTCTCAAAGCTTTTTTAAAACACAAAGTTGTGTTGTCGTGGCCAAGTGGTGACCAGAAGCACACTGTTTTCTTACAGCTTTACATTGAAAAATGTGTTGTCGTGGCCGAGGGGTTAAGGTGATGGACTAGAAATCCATTTTGGTTTCTCTGCACATGTTCAAATCCTGCCAATAATGGTTTTCTGTTTCAAATACAAATTTTATTGTAATTTAAATCTAAAAACTGAAAGTACACTGTGTCTTCTCAAAGCTTTTTTAAAACACAAAGTTGTGTTGTCGTGGCCGATTGGTTAAGGCGATGGACTAGAAATCCATTGGGGTTACCCCGCGCAGGTTCAAATCCTGCCGATAACGGTCGGTGCTTTGTTCCTGTTATGTTAAAATCTTTTACAGAAATTTAAATTTAAAACTGAAAGTACACTGTGTTTTTCCAAATTTCAACATTAATAATTGAGTTGTCGTGGCCGAGTGGTAAATGGCAATGGACTCGAAATCCTTTGGGGTTTCCCCGCGCAGGTTCAAATCCTGCCGGTAACGGTCAGTGCTTTGTTTCTGTTATGTAAAAATCTTTTAAAGAAATTTTAATTTAAAACTGAAAGTAGACTGTGTTTTCCTATATCTCAACAAAAAAAGAATTCAGTTGTTGTGGCCGAGTGGTTAAGGCTATGGACCTGAACTCCAAAAACAACTTTGCATGAAAAGAATGTGTTGTCATGGCCGAGTGGTTAAGGCAATTGGACTAGAAATCCATTGCTGTTTCCCTGTGCAGGTTCAAATCCTGCTGATAACGGTAGGTGGATTGTGTCTGGTAGGTGAAGATCTTTTTAAAGAAATTTAAAATTTAAATTTGGCAGAGTGGTTAAGGCGATGTATTTAAGATCCATTAGGATGTCCCCACACAGGTTAAAATCCTGCATATAACGGTTTTCTGTTTCAAATCAAAATTTAAGTGTAAAGAAAAACAAAATCCGAAAGTACACTGTGTTTTCTCACAGCGTTTTTAAGACACAAAGTAGTGTTTTCGTGGCCAAGTGCTGAAGGCTATGGACTTGCAATATTTTGGGTTTACCCAACCAGGTTCAAATCCTGGCGATAATGATGTCACTTTTGCGGTTTTGAAAGACTTTCAAGTGTAATTTAAAACTAAAAACCAGAAGCACACTGTGTTTTCTTACAGCTTTACACTGAAAAATGTGTTGTCGTGGCCGAGTGGTTAAGGCGATGGACTCGAAATCCATTGGGTTTTCCCCACTCAGGTTCAAATCCTGCCGATAACGGTCAGTGCTTTGTTTCTGGTATGTAAAAATCTTTTAAAGAATTTTAAATTTAAAACTGAAAGTACACTGTGTTTTCTTATATCTCAACAAAAAAAGGAATTAAGTTGTTGTGGCCGAGTGGTTAAGGCTATGGACTTGAAATCCATTTTGGTTTCTCTGCACATGTTCAAATCCTGCCAATAATGGTTTTCTGTTTCAAATACAAATTTTATTGTAATTTAAATCTAAAAACTGAAAGTACACTGTGTCTTCTCAAAGCTTTTTTAAAACACAAAGTTGTGTTGTCGTGGCCAAGTGGTGACCAGAAGCACACTGTTTTTTTACAGCTTTACATTGAAATATGTGTTGTCATGGCCGAGTGGTTAA